ACTGAGAGAGCAGACTTGTTGCAATTTACTTTGTAAATTGTATAATAGTATGTCATTGCCAAGTTCAGAAAGATGAACTCCATCCTTAACAAATAACCCGATAGAATCCCAAAATATCCCCGGATAACAGATATAAAAAGCATTATTCTCAACAAACAATTTGCTCATAAAACTGTTAATTCTTTTGACTGCAAGGTTTTGAGATTTAACATTTTTAATGTAGCGCCATGAAGATCTGGGAAGAATATGAGACCACCCCAGGACAGTGTTTGGAAGTTTAGACCGAATCATTTGAGTTGTTTCTTCATCTTTAAACGTAACTCAAGTAAAGGCACATTACCGATTTCATTACCCCCACAGTGAATTATTAAAATATCAGGAGATGGTTCATACCTCAACAGTTACTGAATGCGGGGAAACAATTTTTTTTCCATGTTAGACCACCCTTGCCCTGCCAAAGGATGTGATAATTTAGTCGTCTAAGTCCCAAATGGGATTTCTCAGTTGACAGGATTGCACGTTGGAAAGCCCACTTGATAATGGATGAGCCAACTATCCATATACTTTTTTCTTGCCCTATGTGATAAAAAATATATTTCACTGATTTCTAATATAAGATTTATAAGCATGTGAAATCCATCTACCTTTTTCATTATTTCGGATTCAGAATGGCCTTTAGAAAACTGTCCGAGGCAGCCCCAATTCGGAACGAGTGGGAAGTGTAACGTGAATTTGAAAGACCTAAAAGATTTATTGCTTTATTAAGGACTGACATAAATTGATAACGGGTAAGTGGGCTGCCGTCTACGTGAACAAAAAGCGGACCATTAATTTTTGGTCTGACAGACAAATATCTTTGCAAATGAAATAGGGGGCATATGACTTGTGTATGTGACTCGTTCAACTGAATTCTTGAACCATTTCCTGTTTGGTCAGTCTTGGAATATGGAACTGTTAACCTTAATATTTTCTTATTTAATGACTGATCGAATAAAATTTGTATATCATTGATGCCGATAACATGGCGAATGTCACCTGTTTTATTGCCTGTAAATTCACCGACTCTCAAAAAGGCATGGTACGCTAATGAAAAGGCAGAGCAAAATAGGTATGTTTCAAAATTAGAGGAGCACACTAGACTTGAACTTGGTATATGAGCATTTTCAAAATGTTTTCGGTAATTGGTAAACGACGGTCAATTGATTTACGGGAACATTTTATACCTTCTAATAATTTTCTAACCAGAAAACATTGTGTATAGTCAGTGGTACCTGTCAACTTGCATTTAAAACTTATACCAGATAATGCTGTACGCTAAATTACGAAGGGACAGGTGAGCGATGAATATACACAAGTGATGAAAGATGGGAGGACCCCAAATATCATCTAAACCGTAGTCCTTCCTGAAAGTAGAAAATATCTTTAAACTATTTGAGTACTGTAGTTTCGTGTTAGGGACAATAGACTTAAGCGTTAAATGCTCTATTTCAGCTCTAATATCATCTTTGTGAAATCTTCTGGGATGGGTATATATAGGATCTTTGTCCGCCTCTGGTGCGAGTTCCGGGAATCTTTTCCATTGTTTTCGGGAAATAGAATCAGCGATTGAATTATTGCAACCACAAATATGTTTTGCTTTAAAATACATGTTGTTAACCATTGAATGGAGCACTAGAGGACGCACTAATTCCATTACTCTTTTAGATTTAGATGTCTTCCTATTCAGAATAGATACTAAAGCAATGTTTTCTGTATGAAACATTATTTTTTTATTTTGGAAATGATTTTTGAATAACAGGACTGCCAGAATTATTGGAACTAATTCTAAAAAAGTTATATCAGATATTATGTCTGAATCCTGCCACTGGGTGAGCCACGGAAAATATGCCCAATGATCTAGTAAATAAACGCCGCAGCCAAGTTGTGCATTTAAATTCCTGCGCCGTCTGTGTATAAGTGAAGCTCAAAATTTGAAAGCCAATTAATCTCTAAAAAATTAAAGGTACCGTTGAATTGTTCGAGGAAACTTAACCAAACCTGTAGGTCGCTCTTCATATCAGCATTAATTAAACCTTATAAAATGAGACGAATGTTTTTAGACACAAGAGATTTATTTGAATTTTGGAATGTTTCCTGACACTTTGTTGCAGGGTGCTTACCAGAACACTTCAAACAACTGTGACTATGTTGACAATAAGGACGAACACAAAAACCTTTCTTATTTAAACTTACATAACCATCGACCCCCCCCCCCCCCCCCGTCCATAAAGTAAAACTATAAACTCCTTTGATTAAGGATGCAAATAAGAAAATAATATTCCAGTGATTAGGAAGGAAGTTTCAGACATTCAGACAGTTTCAATTTGGCATATACTCTAACCCTTGCGTCTTTCAAGAACTGTCAAAAACTTTTCTGGTCGCCCGTTTTGGGTTTTGGATGTTAGTATTCGGGGACCTCCGTGATTAGAGAATTAAACGAGCGAAATTTGAAAGAAAATAATTATTTAAAAATATAAAATGGATGAAAAGTTGTTAACGGAGGATTTTTATCATTATATAAGAATTATCTGGAGAGAAGAGGGTTCTTAGTTCAGCTGGTAAGCGTTGCATATAACTTTTAAAAGGAAAATTCGTGTCGGGGGCACGGAAAGGGGCGATTGCAGTTGCAAGCCTTGTTTCTTTTTAGTATACAGTAGGAATATGTCATTCTTAAAAGGTGCATAATATCAAATTTCTGTGATATTCTAGTGTATATCAAGCAGAAAGATTTACAAAAAACTAAAAATAACCACTGTGCGCTGAAAAGAATGTTAAACATAGTTCGAATTTCCTCGACAATACATTCTATAGATAGTTTTCATATGGCGAATTTTCTCTCTGAGTTATTCCCCTTGGCCGCCATTTTGGTGGTCAACCTGGTAATTTTTCCTCTTTGTCTTAGCAAATCTAAGAGAGTGTAGTAGAAATATTTGGGGGAAAATCTCTATAGAATAAAAATTATGAAATAAAGGAGGCTTTAACAAAATTTTAATGTATATTTTTCAGAAAAACAATGCTTCCTTCCCCACAATGGCCAGTATAAAAAGTTAAAGTTGGTTGAATAATGAAGGAATATGAGTATGTTGACCCCCAATATGGCGGCCAACGGGAAATAACTCTTGCTAATTTGGGCCTACTGAAAACTATCTATAGAAAATATACGTTATCCTTGACCCAAGCGCCTATGAGTTTTACTGAGTACAAGTGAACTAGAGTTATGTTTACATTGCTATAATAATTTGATTTATTTTGTAGTGAAAATAAGTTGTATTATGTTTGAGTCACCCACCGATCCTTCTTTCGCAGACCTTATACATGTTCATGTAAAGGCACATATATATTGCAAATTATTACAGAACTCTATAAATCAAAAAATTTAAAGATAACCAAATTCACTTCGACGAATGTTATCTATAAGTAAGACAAATATTACATCATATTTTTTTCTAGTTAGTGAAAATCCATGCAAATCTGTTTGAATCCGGGATGTTTCGCGCCAATTCTATTTCGCACTGAGATGGTTCGCGCCGATTTCGGTGCGAAACATCTCACTTTTTTTTATATATATATTTCATCATATTTTGATCCATTTTAAACTATTTATTAATTATATATAAATAATTCATGACTTATTAATATATGCATTGCCAAAGGTAATGTATCGTAGGCCGGTAGGGTGCCGTTTGCTAAGCGTGTATGTTCAACAATATACAATGAGGATTTAATTGTAATTAGTTGGAGATCAAAAGGTGAGAATTATTTCATTACAACAATTATCTTCTTGAACTTAGATTAAACCTGTAAATTGGGTTTTTGAGAACCTGTGTATATAATAACTGTTCATTTAATTAACGAAGTACGGTTATGTACTGGTGTCGACTGGTTTTTCTTTCATCTGTATTTTTTCTTTGTATTTTCACGATTTAATAAACAACTGATCTTTTCATTATATTGACGTTTATTGATAAAATTATACATCTTTATATATCTTTAATCTTACACTTAGCCAAAGGACAGGCTGATATATAACTGGTAATTAAATTAACTCATAAATTAAATAAATGGAAGTTTTGAATAATTTAGCACTATATATTTTTACGTTTTAAGTTAATTTTATTCTGTACAAACTGTCTAAACTATTTTTTGTGATATTACATGAAGGGATAGGGCAATTTAAGTTTTTAGAATTTGTGCTCAATCCCATTGTATATATTTAGTCCAATAAAATAAGTTCAAATCAAATCAAATACAAAATTTAAATTATCTAGGAAATTTACATAATTAACAATATTATATGAATTTTTTGAAAAGAATGTATTATCTCAGGTCCGTATAAGAAGCAATTTCATTTTGAGGGGGGCACAACCATACATTTTCAGTTGACACTAACAATATTCCTTGACAAGCAAAAAAATTTTTTAAAAATTTTATCAGACGTTATTATTCAGGGGGCACAAGCATACAGCAGCTACATTTTCTATAGTATTCTATATATCGGCAAAATTATGCTTCTCTAAAAAGGATATTTGATTTAAATTATCTTAAAATCATGCATATTACTTTTTTTACCGTGTTTTTTTTAATATGAATCATTATAACCTGTATTCTGTAATAATTCTACATAAGGACAAATTATCTAATGAAATATCTCCCAAGGCAAAAAGAGCAATAACAATTGAAATTTATTTTACTTTATGATTTTATTCTTCTAATAAATAAACAAATTGACATAATAGCATAAACACAGTAATAGCATAAAAGTGTCACAGTAATAGCATAAATGTATCACACACAGTTATTGCATAAAAATGTCACACACAGTAATATTATAAGGAAGTCTGGGATGTTTCCATGTCACAACTATCAGAAAAGATAAATCACCACTGTAATAGAGTACACATTTCACAGGAAGGCACAGAATCACAAGGAAACGTTAGAACCACAGTCATGTTTCAGATGATTCACTGAAATGGAGCTGCATAAATGGAACCACAAAGCTTTAGGTACACTGCTGAGGAAATCTCTTGTTCCATGTAACGGACTGCAGCATTGGCAATCCTCTGCTGTATCTTGTGGCTAGACATCACACTCCAGATCGGAAGCAGCAACTCAACTATCAGGAACTCCTGACACTGGAGGAAATCCATGTTTATCTGAAAAAAAGAATAAATTAGTCAGTCAAGCATAATAACAATATGTAAGTCGAAACAATAAATATGTTGCATGTACTTTTTGCATAAAAAATCCATAACTCCAACACTGAGCGATAAAAAATAACTTACCTCAAAGTCCAAGTCTGTGGGATATTTGGGTCGAAAAGCAGCCCTGTAGTTGTTCACATATCTTTTGATGTTGGATGTCTTTGGGGCCAGGAACCTGTCTTGAATGGTATCAGCAATGGTGGCCTCAACGATTTCTCTTGCTGGACGAAAGACTTGCTCCACAGCAACTTCCTTTGCCTAAAATTCAATTCAACTTTAACATAATTTCAAGTCTAATAAATCAGTATTGAAGCAATTTTCTAATATTATCCTTATTTTCCAAAACATTCAGGTACTTGACAAATAGTTTTAATTTACAATTACTTGACAATGAGAATAAATGATGTATACCTCTGCTGAAACTTTCTTGAGAAGTGGCAGCTTCAGGTCCCCTGGGTGAAGATGTGCATTGGATCCTCGCACAAAGGAGTTGCCTTGCTGGAGGACTGTGGCATGGCATCTCAGCTTGGCTGACCTCACACTGCATGTCCACATGGTTGTCTCCTTGTTCTTGTGCTATGAAATAAATTATAAATTAATAACAATATAAGTGCTGAAACAATAACATACCATGTTTGTAGAGTAAATTTTATTTTACTAGTAAATTTGGTAAATGGTTAAAATAAATTTCTTCTAACTTTTTTTGAAAAATATATCTATATTATATATATTTCATACCTTAACCCCATATGTGAAGCCATCAGTTGACACAAGTAGAGCACCACCTCTCTTGCTCCCCTTCTCCAGAACTTCAAAGCGAACATCTTCTTCATCTATAATGGTGTCATCAAGGTCCTCGTGTAAGGTGCTACAATAATAAAAAATATTATTATATACAAATGAACACTGAATTTTATGACATAAAAAACAATGTACTAAATGATTCTTTGATATTAATTTAAAAATGGTTATTTTTTATGGATTAAAAATCTTTTTCAATTTATATATTTCATAGTTTAATACCTCTCCTGTGGCTCTTCATCGCTGTCTTCCACATCCCGCCGATGAGAAATGTCGAAGTCTGAGGACTCCAATGCTTCAGGGGGCCGATTCACTGAGTCGGGCTCATCTGGAAGTGTAGAGTCATCCATAGCTGGTACAGGAGGAATCAGTAGCTGTGGAGGGGAAGTTGGAGTGCCAATTGGTGCCACATTAGGACTTGAGGGTGGTGTAGGATGCCCCTCTATAGATGTTGACTGTAGGATGTCTGTTGATACTTCCATTGGCTGAAACAAAAAAAAAACGATCATAGAATAATTTATACAATTTTTTGTATACATGTATAATAAAACACGTACAATTTAAAACCTTGTGCTGAAATTGAAAAATACAAAATTATTATATTTAGATTTACCAAACTATGATCGTCCCTCTCCTCTTTACACTTTAAGCATCGGAACTCAAAATCATCTCTGCTCCTCACAAGATCTCTATATTGTTGTCGGCTGACACTTGTAAGTCCAATAGAAATAATGCAATTAAGTGTCATGAATTTTTTTTTATAGCAAATTATTTACTGGGTATAATAAAAAAACAAGAGGCCCATGGGCCACAGCGCTCACCTGAGTAACTTTGGCCTTGCTGTTTTTCACCTGATTTCTCTCTCTCCCCCCCCCCCCCGTTGTACTTATTGTGGCACCGCCCTATCCCCAGGGGTCATTATTTGAACAATTGGAATCTACATTACTCCAGGATGCTTCCAAGTAAGTTTCAGCTTATCTGGCCCAGTGGTTCTTGAGAAAAAGATTTTTAAAGATTTTTCCTATATATTTCAATGTAAAACTTGGATTCCCTATTGTGGCCCCGCCCTACCCCCGGGGGTCATGATTTGAACAATTTAGAATCTACACTACCCCAGCATGCTTCCACATAAGTTTCATCTTTTCTGGCCCAGTGGTTCTTGAGAAGAAGATTTTTAAAGATTTTTCCTATATATTTCAATGTAAAACTTGGATTCCCTATTAAAGTCCCGCCCTACCCCCGGGGGTCATGATTTGAACAATTTAGAATCTACAATACCCCAACATGCTTCCACATAAGTTTAAGCTTTTCTGGCCCAGTGGTTCTTGAGAAGAAGATTTTTAAAGATTTTTCCTATATATTTCAATGTAAAACTTTGATTCCCTATTAAAGTCCCGCCCTACCCCCGGGGGTCATGATTTGAACAATTTAGAATCTACACTACCCCAACATGCTTCCAAATAAATTTCAGCTTTTCAGGTCCAGTGGTTCTTGAGAAGAAGATTTTTAAAGATTTTTCCTATATATTTCAATGTAAAACTTGGATTCCCTATTGTGGCCCCGCCCTACCCCCGGGGATTATGATTTGAACAATTTAGAATCTACATTACCCCAGCATGCTACCACATAAGTTTCAGCTTTTCTGGCCCAGTGGTTCTTGAGAAGAAGATTTTTAAAGATTTTTCCTATATATTTCAATGTAAAACTTGGATTCCCTATTATGGCCCCACCCTACCCCCGGGGGTCATGATTTGAACAATTTAGAATCTACACTACCTTAGGATGCTTCCACATAAGTTTCAGCTTTTCTGGCCCAGTGGTTCTTGAGAAGAAGATTTTTAAAGATTTTTCCTATATATTTCAATGTAAAACTTGGATTCCCTATTGTGGCCCCGCCCTACCCCCGGGGATTATGATTTGAACAATTTAGAATCTACATTACCCCAGCATGCTACCACATAAGTTTCAGCTTTTCTGGCCCAGTGGTTCTTGAGAAGAAGATTTTTAAAGATTTTTCCTATATATTTCAATGTAAAACTTGGATTCCCTATTGTGGCCCCGACCTTAACCCCGGGGGTCAGGATTTGAACAATTTAGAATCTACACTACTCCAGCATGCTTCCACATAAGTTTCAGCTTTTCAGGTCCAGTGGTTCTTGAGAAGAAGATTTTTAAAGATTTTCCCTATATATTTCAATGTAAAACTTGGATTCCCTATTATGGCCCCACCCTACCCCCGGGGGTCAGGATTTGAACAATTTAGAATTTACACTACCCCAGCATGCTTCCACATAAGTTTCAGCTTTTCTGGCCCAGTGGTTCTTGAGAAGAAGATTTTTAAAGATTTTTCCTATATATTTAAATGTAAAACTTGGATTCCCTATTATGGCCCCACCCTACCCCCGGGGGTCATGATTTGAACAATTTAGAATCTACAATACCCCAACATGCTTCCACATAAGTTTCAGCTTTTCTGGCACAGTGGTTCTTGAGAAGAAGATTTTTAAAGATTTTTCCTATATATTTCAATGTAAAACTTGGATTCCCTATTGTGGCCCCGACCTTAACCCCGGGGGTCATGATTTGAACAATTTAGAATTTACACTACCCCAGCATGCTTCCGCATAAGTTTCAGCTTTTCAGGTCCAGTGGTTCTTGAGAAGAAGATTTTTAAAGATTTTCCCTATATATATTTCAATGTAAAACTTGGATTCCCTATTATGGCCCCACCCTACCCCCGGGGGTCATGATTTGAACAATTTAGAATCTACACTACCCCAGGATGCTTCCACATAAATTTCAGCTTTTCAGGCCCAGTGGTTCTTGAGAAGAAGATTTTTAAAGATTTTTCCTATATATTTCAATGTAAAACTTGGATTCCCTATTGTGGCCCCGACCTTAACCCCGGGGGTCATGATTTGAACAATTTAGAATTTACACTACCCCAGCATGCTTCCACATAAGTTTCATCTTTTCAGGCCCAGTGGTTCTTGGGAGAAGATTTTTAAAGATTTTCCCTATATATTTCAATGTAAAACTTGGATTCCCTATTATGGCCCCGCCCTACCCCAGGGTGTCATGATTTGAACAATTTAGAATCTACAATACCCCAACATGCTTCCACATAAGTTTCAGCTTTTCTGGCCCAGTGGTTCTTGAGAAGAAGATTTTTAAAGATTTTTCCTATATATTTCAATGTAAAACTTGGATTCCCTATTATGGCCCCACCCTACCCCCGGGGGTCATGATTTGAACAATTTAGAATCTACACTACCCCAGGATGCTTCCACATAAATTTCAGCTTTTCAGGCCCAGTGGTTCTTGAGAAGAAGATTTTTAAAGATTTTTCCTATATATTTCAATGTAAAACTTGGATTCCCTATTGTGGCCCCGACCTTAACCCCGGGGGTCATGATTTGAACAATTTAGAATTTACACTACCCCAGCATGCTTCCACATAAGTTTCATCTTTTCAGGCCCAGTGGTTCTTGGGAGAAGATTTTTAAAGATTTTCCCTATATATTTCAATGTAAAACTTGGATTCCCTATTATGGCCCCGCCCTACCCAAGGGTGTCATGATTTGAATAATTTAGAATTTACACTACCCCAGCATGCTTCCACATAAGTTTCAGCTTTTCAGGTCCAATGGTTCTTGAGAAGAAGATTTTTAAAGATTTTTACTACATATTTCAATGTAAAACTTGGATTCCCTATTGTGGCCCCACCCTACCCCCGGGGGTCATGATTTGAACAATTTAGAATCTACACTACCCCAGGATGCTTCCACATAAATTTCAGCTTTTCAGGCCCAGTGGTTCTTGAGAAGAAGATTTTTAAAGATTTTTCCTATATATTTCAATGTAAAACTTGGATTCCCTATTGTGGCCCCGACCTTAACCCCGGGGGTCATGATTTGAACAATTTAGAATTTACACTACCCCAGCATGCTTCCACATAAGTTTCATCTTTTCAGGCCCAGTGGTTCTTGGGAGAAGATTTTTAAAGATTTTCCCTATATATTTCAATGTAAAACTTGGATTCCCTATTATGGCCCCGCCCTACCCAAGGGTGTCATGATTTGAATAATTTAGAATTTACACTACCCCAGCATGCTTCCACATAAGTTTCAGCTTTTCAGGTCCAATGGTTCTTGAGAAGAAGATTTTTAAAGATTTTTACTACATATTTCAATGTAAAACTTGGATTCCCTATTGTGGCCCCACCCTACCCCCGGGGGTCATGATTTGAACAATTTAGAATCTACACTACCTTAGGATGCTTCCAGATAAGTTTCAGCTTTTCTGGCCCAGTGGTTCTCGAGAAGAAGATTTTTTAATGACCCCACCCAATTTTTGTATTTTCTTGATTATCTTCCCTTTCAAGGGGACTTGGCCCTTCATTTTAACAATTTAAACTCCCCTTCACCCAAGGTTGCTTTGTACCAAGTTTGGTTAAAATTGGCCCAGTGGTTCTTGAGAAGAAGTCGAAAATGTGAAAAGTTTACAGACGGACGGACGGACGACGGACAACGGGTGATCAGAAAAGCTCACTTGAGCTTTCAGCTCAGGTGAGCTAAAAACAACATTTTTTAAAACTAAGAACTGGTTATAGAACATATAGAACTAGCTGTTTGATATTTTTTTAAATCCGTCAAATAAGAAAAAGAAAATGATTTACCCGACTTGCAAGTCCTGTGTTGCCATCTGTTACAATCGTCACATATTAAGGCTTCTTGTTGTGGACGGACAAGTTTGCTGCAAACCACACACTCATCTAAAAAGAATCGGGAATGTTACATAGCATAAACAACATTTTTTTATGCCCCCGGATCGAAAGATCCCGGGGGTATATTGTTTTTGTCCTGTCTGTTTGTCTGTTTATCTGTTTGTCCGTTTGTCTGTTTGTCTGTCTGTTGTCAACTTTAACCTTGCCCATAACTTTTGATTGGTTGGAGCTATGACTTTCATATTTCACATGTCTATTCCTTGTGACAAGACCTTTCTTTGGGTACCATCATATTTGACCTTGACCTTGGAGTTTGACCCACTTTTGCAAAATTTTATGAGACTTTAACCTTGGCCATAACTTCTGAACAGTTGGTGCTTGGGGTTCCAAACTTCACATGTGTATTCCTTGTGACAAGGCCATCCTTTGGATACCAACAACTTTGACCTTTTGACCTTGACCTTGGACTTTGACCTACTTTTGCAAAACTTTAACCTTGGCCATAACTTTTGAACAGTTGATGCTTAGGGTTTCAAACTTCACATGTGTATTCCTTGTGACAAGACCTTCCTCTGGATATCAACCACTTTGACCTTGACCTAGGAGTTTGACCTAGTTTTGAAAAACTTTAACCTTGGCCATAACTTTTGAATGGTTGGAGCTAGGGCTTTCATACTTCACATATGTAATCCTTGTGACAAGACCTTCCTTTGGATACCAACCACTTTGACCTAGGAGTTTGACCTACTTTTGAAAAACTTTAACCTTGGCCATAACTTTTGAATGGTTGGTGCTAGGGCTTTCATACTTCATATATGTAATCCTTGTGACAAGATCTTCCTTTGGATACCAACCACTTTGACCTTGACCTTGACTTTTATTTAAAAAACTTTAACCTTCGCCATAACTTTTGAACAGTTGTATCTAGGTCTTTCAAATTTCACAGGTGTATTCCTCGAGACAAGACCTTTCATTGGGTATCAACATTTTTTTTATCTTTTGGCCTGAATTTTGACTTGCATTTGAGGAACTTTGACCTTCGCCATAAGCTGCCATACGGGGGCATCAGTGTTTCACAAACTTAAAGAATAATATCAACTTACACTATATATTCTCTAGAATTATACAAGGAGTTTTATTATTGTAATTAAATAGATATGTGTTTGATAAATTTTCTTTAAAAAAATATGTTAATAAATTAAATATGACCAATTTTCAATCATACCTGCCATTGTTGATTTTTATGCTTATCGCCTTAAAGACTGATGGTTATTTCAGAAAAAAATTATCAATATAAATACTTACCTTGGTTTCATAATTATCACTTGTCTCATCATTATATACTCCAGTCTCCAAATTTAAGTTGACGTGTGGGTTGTCCAAGCCAGAAATAATTACTTAATTAGAGGCCGGTATTATAATTATGTTTAAGTATCTACTGTATACATAATTAGCATGGTGTTAAATAATTGATAATTATGCTATGTACTTCAACGAATCTTCATAAATTAAATAAAAAGAGCGAGAAATCTTCAAAAAAATATCTATAATCATATATATTTAAAATCTAAAACTTTTGCTAAATGAACTAAACTCAGTAGCACATTTATGTTCTTGGAGCGCAAAACATCGTGGTGCGAACCATCTCGGGGCGAAACAGAATTGGCGCGAAACATCGCGGAGCGAACCATGCATGGGCGCGAAACATCCCGTTACCATCTGTTTGGAGTAGGGCTTATAGTTACTTGGAAATAGACCTGCTCGAAAAACTTTTAACCAATGTTAACCTGTTTACTATCAAGAAAATTTTGGTCAGTTCCAACATCCAAAGCAAGTCTGTAAGTTTTCATCCGTAGATGCACCATCTATGCAAGTTTAATCATAACAGGCCATAATATTATAATATTATATAAATATTGCATGTAGTTGAGTGTAACATTGAAAATTTTCACCCCAAGAAAACCATTGTCAACCTCGACTGCGCCTCGGTTGACGTTTTCTTCGGGTGAAAAATTTCAATATTGCACTCAACTACATGCAATATTTATTATATTATACTGAATGTTTTATACAAATAAATATAACAGTGAACCGTGCGCGCATAAATTCTGCGCAGTCACTATTTTTTGGAATATCACCCGTCATCAAGCAATGTTGACCATGGCCGTAGGAACCGCGGGAGGGGGGGGGGGGGCGTGCCCCCCCCCAATAATTTTGCCAATATATAGAATACTATAGAAAACATACCTACTGTATGGTTGTGCCCCCTCAATAGTAATGACTAATGACCCCCCCCTTTTTTTTTTTTTTTTTTTGCTTGTCAAGAAATTTTGGTAGTTAATAGTGCCCCTCCCCCAACTGAAAATGTATGGTTGCGCCCCCCTCAAAGGGAAATTGCTTCCTACGGGCCTGTTGACTGTTGCTACGCTGGAACGCGTGGCTTCATCATTCAGCGGGTAATAGTGTTTTTTAACAAATGTTTCTCGACGAATCAGATACAACTAATTTACATGAAAGTATAATAATATAATAGCTACTCTAAATACATCCCCCGGCTCACTCATCTGGAAAATGTAGGTCAGATTCAGAATCCAAAGCAAGTTTTAAAGTGTCCATCCCTAAATACATCATCCATGCTAATTTGGTTAAAATATGGCTAAAATTCACTCATCTGGAAAATCTAAGTCAGATCTAACATCAGGTTTTACCTCTGCTCATCATTCTGCAGGTTGGTTAATGTACATCCCTAGATGCATCATCTATGCAAGTTTGGTCCAGGTAGGGCTTATAGTTAATTGGGATTGGACCTGCTCCAAAAACTTAAACCTGGTCACTCATCTGGAAAATCTAGGTTAGATCCAGCATCTGAAGCAAATGTGGCAGTGTCCATCGGCCCCTAGATGCATCATACATGCAAGTTTGGTCCAGGTAGGGCTTATAGTTCTTGGGAATGGACTTGCTCCAAATCCGGTCACTCATTTGGAAAATCTAGGTCATATCCAGGATTCGAAGCAGGTTGGCATGCCTAGATGCATCATCAAAGCAAGTTTGGTCCAGGAAGGGCTTATAGTTAGGTACCTGCTCCATAAACTTTAACCTGCTCACTCATCTGAAAAATCTAGCTCAGATCCAGCATCTGAAGAAAGTGTGGTAGTGTCCATCCCTAGATTATCATCCATGCAGGTTTGGTACAGGTAGGGCTTACAGCTGCTTGGGAATGGACCTGCACCAAAAACTTAAACCTGGTCACACCTCTGTAAAATCTAGGTCAGATCCAGCATCTGAAGCAAGTGTGGTAGTTTCAATCCCTAGATGTATCATCCATGCAAGTTTTGTCCAGGTAGGGCTTATAGCTGATTGGGAATGGGCCTGCACCAAAACCTTTAACCTGGTCACTCATCTGGAAAAGCTAGGTCAGATCCAGCATCTGAAGCAAGTGTTGTAGTGTCCATCCCTCAATGCATCATCGATGCAAGTTTGGTTTAGGTAGGCTTATAGTTACCTTGGAAATGACTTGCTCCTAAAACTTCAACCGGGACGCTGACACTAACGCCAATGCTGGGTGTGTAGCATATACTCATCTCGACTTCATCAAGGTGAGCTAAAAACAGTCTACACAGTTAGCCAATACTGCAGAATGATGAGCATAGGTAAAACAATTTTTTAAGATAACCTCAGTAAAGAGTCATCCGGCAATATTTGAATTACGTATTTTTTAACTGAGTACACCTTAGCATCATGCACCAAAAAAAAAAATTCACATTAAACTGGATTTACATTTTAATGTCAACACAATGCAAATTGTTTACACACTCTTCTGCATATTTAAGACGACTAAGAGTTACTGTCCTTCCAAGTATTTTCATCATTTCAACAACAGGGGGCCCTACCTGAAAATAAAAAAATAGTACTCAAACACACGTCTAGTTTACTGTTTGAATATAATACTGCATATGGTAAATAAAGACAAGAAAATAATACATTTAATTAATACATTTACATGTATACTGGATTCATAGATCAAATAAAATCCAAAATGTCAGCGTGGCTTAACTTTGAAGTACTTTACAAAATTATAATTATTTCCTGAAAATCATATAAATTATGTAAAACTCAAAGCTTTTTACAGTCAGTAATAAGTAATTTTAATGTGATTGTACCTGTAGTCCTGAGAGAGAAACCCGTATGATGTTCATCAATAATTTCACTTTGATTCCTCTATTTTTTGCAATCACAGACAAGGAGTTTTTGAGAGTGTTTTCCTGAAAGTCTGACATTTGATTGACAGCAATGTAACAGTCTTGTAAAATATCACAAAGGTCAAGGTCATACTTCTCACTGAGTTCCTGTATCTGAGTTTGTGAGGGTGTGTTCCATAAAAAATCCCATTCTGGTTCTGTTAAATCTGTAATCTTGTTAATTCTGCTTTCTCCCTGAAATATATGTACAGGCATATCAATAATTAATTTAAGCCAAATGAAGTATGATATTCAATTGTTCTGAAAATCAAATTAATTTATTATTAATTTGAATTCATGTAAATATAAAAAGTAACAATCGAAACTGTGTATAAAAAGCAAAATGCAATGTTGAAAATTTAAAAGCACACGCAACATAAACAAAGAAAATAAATGAAGAAGATAATTACTTAAAAAAATATAGAATACATGTTATATAATTAATCATCATGTCTCTTTAACAAGTCACAATTTTATAAACAATTTTAAATAGAAATTTCCTTTTTCATATTTAATATATACATAAAGTATATGATATAATATATCTATATATATTACATCATATACTTTATGTATTAAGAAACAAAAGATCTCCTTTGGACTTGTCAATTACATGTATTTTAAAATATAAATACTTGAGAAGTAGCATTCCATCTTTAATGACTATTCATACACACTCTTTAGAATGAAGGATTTCATTTGCAACCTAAGCATACTCTAGATACCTTAATACATGCAAGAATATTTTGTGACGATCATCAATTGCACAAATAAATTACTTGTCGTTATAATGTTAAAATACATAAAAAAAAATCTCTTAATCAACAGTCCATTCATGAATTCACTTGAGATTTGACATCTACGAGCCATTCCCCTAAAGTAAGTACTGATGTAAAATAGAGAATCTACAGTATCTGCAAATTCTGCAATTTCTGTGTGCGAGCATGCTTGTGTGTGTGCTTGCCTGTTTGCATGTGAGTGACACTCAGTAGATTGTCACTTGTATTTTTACACACTTAACAATACACTGTATACTCGTACCACAGCCCACTGCAGAATACCGGCAACATATTCTTTGTCCAGTTGAGTACTTGAAAACTTATCTGGATATCTAGAAATTAAAAAAAAAATGAATTTTGAGAAGCTGCATCTATCCAGAAAATACTTGAATTGAATGCATGATCTTGTGCTAATATTCGTACTTTGCTTGCAAATGTTTCATCAGGATTTCCATTGTTTGGGCAGTAACTAGGGCAGGGTTATCTCTCAGTTCTCTCTGGAGGTAAACTTTATTCACTTGTTCCAACTTTTCATGATCCACATGTCCAGAATGAGTGGACATATTCTTTATGGAAAACTTTAAATCAGGAAAAATAAACATTGCTATCAGCAAAACGTGCAGTAATGTAACTATGTAGATTAAATAATTAAAGTTCTAAAAATGCATCTCTGTGTACATGTATAGTCAGATTAATTTCTGGCTTACTTAATTGCTGTATCAATATACTAATTATAACAACATAGAAAAGCATAAACTTTGAAGAGTGTAATGTTTATTTGTAAAGAACTTTTAATTTTGGATTGTCAAAAGCTTATTCATACACATGTACATAAAATTAAACACCTAACATTCAACTAGGCTAGGTTTCATGAAAAAGGGGAAATTGTTGATTTGAATTTCATGATTTTAAAATTGTTAATTCTCTATAAGATAAAACATATGAGTTAAAGATTCTAATGTGTAGATATACCTTTGTAATGAGGTCCTCCATGTTGTCATATTCAATAGAGTGGTCATCTGTCTGTGTGTACCCTCCTCCCATTAATGTGACAAACTTCAACAAAGCTTCAGGACTGTATCCTTTAGCCTGGAATAAAATTACTACATCTGATAGAGCTAGCAAGATTCTGAAAGGGTTTTCAGTACTTAAAAAAAAATTATACACACTTAATTCAGGTCAGTACTAAAAAATAAAACCTTCAATGCCTTTTTATTATGAAAATTTAATAAATGAATTTAATTAACAAAAAATTCAGATTTTGTCATTGTTATTACAAAGCTTCTTTTCAATAAAATAACACTCAATACTCAAATACTTTTTGTTACATGTATATGCAATACAAAATACAATACAATGTATAATCATGGTAAATATGTAGTGAATGTTGTTATACATTTTGACCAGATTTATTTTTTACTTTTCAAAGAGGATCATGACCCTCTTTTTACATGTTGAAGCCTTGGAGTTTGGCAAATACATGTTTGCTAATATCCAATACTAGAAGGGCAGTAACTCGAGTTAAATATATTTTAAAAATCACAGATTAACCAATGTTGGATTGCTGGAACATGTCTCTTACCTGATAATGTGATATCTGAATATCTCCCTGTCTCTTTGACAGTTTGGTTCCATCACTGAAATTTAAGAGACAGTATGTTTTTCTTTCAATTTTCATTTAAAAATTAAAAGGGCTAGACTTCAATTGTCTTGTCTATATAATCTATTGCATTTGAATGATGTTGATACATGTGTAATTATTAAAATGAAATTTTATGTTAATCAAAGTCAATTAACATTAATATAAAATGTTTAGTAATCATCTTCAATATCAAAATCCATGATAATTATCAACCCAATAGCTCCCATAAAAATCAGACATTCTTGAGTCAATATCTGACCCTTCTTAATGTAACTCATAAACAGAACAAAATGAGTTATTTACTTTAATAATGCTTTCAATATTTTCAACTAAGAATAAAAGTTCAGCAGGAATGCACAGTGTCCTGTACATGTACATGTACCAATCAAAGGAACAATTTATAGAAATATTTTATTGTTGATATCCTTGTTCTATTTGTCATTTTAAATAAATATATTCACATATGACTGACAGGAATAATTTAAAACAGTGGTGTATCAAGTTGATATGAGAAAAAAAAAAATTTATGCCAGCTGTGAGAATTAGTAAATCTTAAGTCAGCTGAAAGACATTTTTCATTCTACATGTTGCTGAAACTTAATTTAAATAAACACATCAATTCTATGAAGTGTATTGTGGCCATGTTTGCCATAAGATATTGTAAATGTACCTGTTCATGATGAGAGGGAGGTGACCATACTCAGGAGGGGACCAGCCAAATGCCTTGTACATCAGCAAGTGCTTGGGAGTTGAAATCTGCCATTCCTAGAAACAAAGCTGCTAGTTTGAAAACTCTGCATGGTGAGTGCATGAGCGATATTTAAGAAAATTTTTTTTTTTAAATAAGTAACACATTTTATTCAAACTGGTGGAAATACATGCATATGCTAGTAGCTGATAAAAAGGAGTAGCTCTTTCAGAAAATGTTTGTCTAAGATATGGCAAATTAATTGACAATATGCAAAATATCTAAAAGCATTTATTTACCATTTTTATAGCAGATTTCATATACACAAAGAATAAACTGATCAACAGAAGAGGGCCAAAGACAGAAAGATTTTCAAACCATTAGCATTCACTTGAAATTCTTCAAAAAGAGCTCATTCTCTTCATAACCTTGCATCCCTTAAAAAAACTCACCTGACCCCTCAGGACATGAGTAATTCCCATTAAATGGTCATCTACTACATTGGCGAAATGATAGGTTGGCAATCCATCAGTCTTCACAATTACCTATCATTGATTTATTTCAATAAAAAGATGAAAGAAGTTTCAGATTTACTTCTTGGGTGTATTCATTAAATGTTTTTTTTTTATATTATTGAATCCAAAATGAACATTTTTTTTTTAATTCTAAGTCAATATCATATTTTTTGCAACATTGGTAATGATAGATTTTAAGGATGTTATCATGTATGTCTTATTTCAAATGAATATTCTATAAGATGCATTGTCTACATGTTATTCCATCAATTAGTGTTTCAGTTACACATCTGAAAAATATAGAATTAGCAATAAGAGATTATTTAGTAAGATGCATTCCTACATGAATCCTTAATCAAATTCACATCAAGTAGGTCTTATGATTCTTGTGAACGCACCTGATCCAAAAAACTTTAACCTGGCCACTGATCAGCTGAAAATATTAAGTAAGATGTAACATTCCAAGTTAAAATTTTAGAAATCATTTCTAGTTGCATCATCCCTGCAAGTTAGGTCCAGGTAGGGATTATAGTTACTTGGAAATGGATCTGGTCACTAATTGTTCCAAAATCTTTAACCTGACCACTTATCCCAAAAATATAGGTCAGATGATAAAGCCTCACCATCCATCAAAAAATTTGATTCAAATCAGCATCTAAAATATGACTGGTAGCAAGTCTGAACCAGGTTAGGACAGTTAAGAACCAATTAATAATTGTAGAAGAGATCGCTGCATGCTTTGGGCACTCATAATTCTCAAAAATACTTAAAAAAAAAATAAACTGCTTACTGGATCGCCTTCATAGTTAGCAACATTAACATCATAATGTCCATAAACAAGATCCGTAAATGGCTCATGGTCCTCTGAATTTAACTGAAAAAAGAAGGTTGTATTCAACAACAGAACGTTTTAATTTCTGTATTTTAAATAAAATGTTTGACTTGATTTTTACACTGAGATGAGTGATAATATATTTATTTTAACAACTGATAGATCTGAAGATGTTTGTTGAAAAAAAAACCCTGCAAAATATAATCTTTTATTGTGAATTTGTTTTCACCTTAAATCTGACAACATATGGCACATTTTCCTCTGTCTTCTCTTGAATTTCTCCATCTGTCAAATGTCGACATTTGTTGTCATATTTTGGAATTTCTCCACGTCGTATGGCATCTTTTCTGATTAAATTCAGTCTGAATTTTGTGCAGTAACACCTGTATGCTGCTCCATTCTTCAGCAAATATAGAAAGATATTTTTATGAAACCGAAACTTGTCTTTTCAATGTACATTATTTCAAAGTCAAGTAGTAAAATTGCAACAAAATATATATTCATGAATCAATATAATCAATGAATGTTCAATATTCTGACAATTTTTTATAATAAGCAGCATCTTGAAGCAAATAATAAATGGAAACAAGACTAATACCTAATTAAAAACTTCTTCAAATTAAAGCAATATGAGCTGCAAATTTAATGTCTGAAAATTTTGTGGCAAAATTGTAATTAACAATTTCAATGACAGAAAAAAAGAGCATTTATAAACTTCTGTTGTTCATATTTGCGATGGAAGAACTATTTAGAAGCTTTGATTGAAGCAATACTACATTATTGTCGTCCTGTACAATATTGTTTTCTTATATAATACTATACATTCCATAGTACAGAAACCTTTCTTCTGAAAAAAAAACCCTTTATTTTAGTCTTATTTATCATAAAGGTTAAAATTACATACAAATTTATCATAACAGCACATTTTAACAGCAAAATAAAATTCTCAAAAATGCAGCTCATATTGCTTTAAACATAGACATGGTAAAAGTTCATGTCTTACAACAGTACATTAATGTACTAACACACATGTACATATGTAAATACATAATTGTTTTTATAAACACATGTTCTGATTGCAGTACCTTTAATAATTTATCTAAACAATTGCTGTACAGATCTCTTCTTTGTGACTGGATGTATGGTCCATAGTCTCCACCAATAGAAGGACCTGACAAGAGACATCTCATTAATTAATTGGAATGCCAGAGGGGTAAAAATGAACAAGTAATTTTCTTATATGTGATCAGTTTTGTCTGCTTCATATAGTCAGGTATGTTTTTTTTAAAATTAAATTTGAATAAAGATTCACTTTTTAAAAAAAATTACTGGAACATTACTGAAATTTAGATTGACACTTTAGGCCATATACATGTACATGTATGCTTCATAGCAAGTGCCACATGCAGAACACGGGATATTTTGAGGTTATTTGTTATAGGAATAAGACAAAACTATGCTTCTATAATATAGAATCTGTATATGTTCCTCATTACCTAATTTACAAAATTTTATTAAACAAACAGTTACCATGGTTACTATTTATAAGTACCGAAAAAAGTGACTTAGTTCTGTACATGATATAGTTGTAATCTGAGGCTTAAATAATAAGGTAGAAAATGCTTGTTTCCTGTAACCTGACTGACCCATTCAAATTACAGCAAGGTGGAATTTTTTTTTTTTTTTTTTTTTTTTTTTTTTTTTTGCAAATCTGAGTTTGAATAAAATCAACAATCAATCAGCTGATGAAACTTTTACCAATAATGTTAACTGAACCTTTACTTGATATCATAATTAATATCAGTTCATTGTTTAATTATTCTTTTGAAATTTCACTCTTTAACATATATATGTAACTTATTACATATGTAACTAATACCGTTGTGTGCATTCTGGACCCAAAATTGGAAATAAATATATTACTTACTTACTTACTATAAAATATGTCAACTAAGCCATTACTCACCTATTATGAAATTTATTAATCATCATCATCACATACCATCTAGCATTTTTTCCATGAATTTAATTTCAATATTTCTTATTACAAAAGCGCTCCTAGACAGCCACATTGAATCTCTTAACTTACAGTACATTAATAGAAGATTAAAATCAAAAACCGTATCTACTTGACCATTGTTTTCTTTGGGGGGGATGTTACTGGAGACAAACGTGATTTTTTTTTAGGGGGGCTTAAAGAAATGTGCATAAACGCACATCATGTAGTTGATTATACATGTTATAGTGAGCACAAGAGCCCTTACGATAATGCCTGGGCAATGAGAAAATTCAGACTTTACACTTTAATCTAAATGAATTTTTTCCGCTGTTACCTTGAGACCCATAATTCATCTCACTGCAGTGCTAACTTCAATTTTGCAGTAACAACAATTAAAAATAAAAAGTTCAGGAATAAATAAACTGACCTTGTTTAAATGGATATTAGTTTATTACTGGTAAAAAGTGGATAAAACATTCTTTGTTAAAAAAAATGCACTTTTCAGACTTTGCTTTGAAAATGCAGCTAACATACATGGCATATCATGTCAAAATCTTAACATTCCAAATGTTTCATGCTTTTTGAAGAGGTGGATCTAAGTAAGAAGTGAATAAAGGTATCCAGTAATACACAACTGTGCTCGCCCCAACAGTTCAACCATCAACATTTTAAAGATTCTGGTAAAACATCTATCATTTACCACCTTCATCTGGTTCCAGCTTGGCCCATTGTAATGTCTGTATGATCTTCTCAATAGCACCATCTACAATCCTTGTCTGCAAATAAAATATTTCTGGCACATGTATAAGATATATGCCATAGTAAAGATGAGCGGTTACGCTAATTTTTTTTTTTATTTTTCAACTGTTTCCCTGGATAAATATTTCTAGAATTGAGTTACACTTCCTGGACTAATATCAACTTTTCGACATATATATCCCACCTGATCAGTATCTTCTATCCTCAAAACAAATGCACCACCATTTGACTTAGCAAACAGGTAATTGTAAAACGCTGTTCTTAGAGAACCTAAGTGCATGTAACCCGTGGGGCTCGGTGCAAACCTCACCCGGACACCCTTTCCGTTGTCGCATGCTGATGCTGTATTTAAATACCGTCGAATTTGACGGCTGACTCGAAGGGAAAAATTTTTCATGGAGAGCGCCATATTGTTTCTAATTTCAGATTCCCGAACCCGAGTTTTCAATGGTACACCACAGCGCCGTTTTGAGAGGTGAATTTCTTAAGGAAATAAATAAAAATTAGTATAAAAAGCAGCGGTAAAACAGCTCTTTTATTCTTTAGAAGAATGATCACACTTTACATATTTCCACAATTCATCCTTTATAAATGAAATGGGGAAAAGGGGCCAGGGTGTTTTATATCTTTGAATCGTTCCGTTTGTTTTCACTATTTTATTTTTAAAAAAGAAGACTTTTCATTCCAATTTTTTCTTCAAAGACTTGAAATTATACTATAATTTAGTAAATTTTGTAGAAAAATATACAATACAGTATGGAATTCCATATACGACGGCGGACTGCTTACTGCCAACTGCTCACTGCTTACTGCCAACTGCTCACTGCTTACTGCCAACTGCTCACTGCTTACTGCCATCTGCCACACATATTTGAATAATTTTTCATATTTATATTGATATTTATGTGAATTTTCATAAAACCAGGCGCGGATCCAGGAATTTTTCCAGGAGGGGTCCATCCCAGTAAAAAAAATCCAACCCAGAAATTTCTTGACAAGAAAAAACAAAAACAAAAACGTAAACTCCTTTCCTAAACGTGAAAAACCTATTTCTTGGGGGGGGGGGGGGTGACTTCTTACGCTTCGTATCTTCATATCTATGACTTTTCATACCAACTTAACACGGATCCGCGTTTTCTAGGGGCGGGGTGGGGTGGGGTCCAAGGTCACTTTTAGAATAATATACATAAAATAACTCTACAAATATCGATGAGGGTCCGGACCCTCCCCCCGACTCCCCCCCCCCCCCCGTAGATCCGCGCATGTATAACATAACTTATTTGGGAAAACAAAGAGATATAAGTCTTTAATTTGAGAAAAATTTTCACTACCGAAATTAACCGAAATGGAAATTTATTTTCAAAACATCCCCCCGCGAAGCAACAAATCCTTTTGTTAGTTTTTATTCATTCCAAGGGTTTTGTTGTCTCAAGGGGGGGGGGGGGGCACGTGTTTACAGATTAAAAACAGGAAAATAGTCATTTTATTACCAATTTCAAATGAGATAACAAAATAAAAAAAAAATGTACTTTATAACTTTATCAATCTCATATGTTGAATTTTACATAAGTTAAATATATAGTGAGATTTAAGAGTCATTTATCCATTTTCATGAGTATTTGAAAATCTGGTGATGTTTTCAGCCTGATTTCAATTGAAAATTTTTTCTATCCCCTTATGAAAAGAGTTGTAAATAAGAGCAATTAACTTTTTGTCACTGGTTTTTTAAATTAGTACTTAATATTACATTAATGAACTTTTCCGTGCATTCAAACAAGTTTTAATGTACGTCCAAATTGCCATTTATATTGAATTAAATGGATGGAAAATGTAGTCGGGAATCGAGAGTTAGGGTGCATAGTTCTTACAATAATAACAAAATTAAGCGGATTCGTGAATTTTTAAACTGTAAAGGCGAGAAAGGAGTAAATCGGAAGAAGGAGTATTTCCTCTTAAAAACAAAACATTTAATTTCTGCATTTCGTTGCACACAAATAATTTGGTAGCTTTTTTTTGACGGGGGAAAAGGGGGGGGGGGATTCACATAAGACAAAAGAACAAACTTTTAGAAGGGTCTTGAGTAACATTTGTTGGTATATGTATTTATACTAGAAATATCACTGAAAGTTATAATAACATAAGTTTTGCCTAGTGTAAAAGATCTAGCAATATCTTTCGGTGTTTCTTTTTACCCTAGAAAAAGTACCTATGTGTGGGAATATGTGTCTTATGTAAATCGTTTTAATGGCTATTGTTAGATCTGTAAAAACATTCGTGGGGGGGGGGGGGGTTACCCACTAAATTTCCAACATAAACTATATAACATAATGTTAATAAATAATATATTCCATATTCTTTGCAAAAATAAAAGCGTCTTGTTACATGTACAAGTGTATATGGATTTCCGGTCAGTATATATATTGACTGTAAATATCTGTTTTAGGATATAATTATGTAAAAAGATTTTTCGTCCTCACTAAAAACATTAAAGAAGGGTCCCATCCTCAAGCTCCTGTGAAAAGATCCACTGAATTAATTGATTTTTGGTAATTCATAACATGTGCTTGTTATGTATTTTCCAAGTTTAGCAGCCAAAAAATTAGGTCGTTGCGCGCGGTATCTGCATGGAAGACAGAGTGGGAAAAATAGTTTGCAGATACAATACGTTCAAAAACAAGATACGGCTTCTTTAAGATCTGATTCTCTTAATTTTTTTGATTTTTTGATTAAAGTGAACGAAGAATAAAATAAATAAAAATTTATTCATTAGATAAGCGAAGAATGAGTTTGATTTTATTTGCAGAGAAGACCTTATAGTAATAAGTCAACAAATGACACAAGCAAGTTTTTCTCTATTTAAAAAATGCAATTGTTTCATTGTAGCTCCATTTTGTCAGTGTCTTGAAGCAGGGAATCATGGTCAAACTGCAAAGGTAAGGTCATTGTACGGAAAAAGAGAGATCTAAGTCCGAATTAAGAATTTTTTCACTGGACAGACTTAAAGAAGTTGCAAACATATATATAACCAATTTACATGTACTTATAGTACATGTGAGTTTATACTTAATAAAAATAACGAATAGGATAAAATATGTACGATCTCAAATTAAACTAGTTACTTTATTAAATCAGCGTAATGCAAATCAGGTTCTTTAATCAACTCACTTAGATCACTGCACAGATATATATGACGAAAGAATCTAGTTATAAACTGTGAATTAAAATGGAGAATTGCATGTTCATTTCGGTACTATTTATGGATCGAAGGGAAGGGGAACTTTATAAAAACACCGCGACAGGGGAGAAGGGAGATGGTCTGTCGAATTGTCAATTTAAGAAAATGCTCATTCGAGAACTTAAGATTTATATATTTTATGAAAATATTTGATTGATAGTTTGGGGTTTACATCTATAAGAATTCCCCTTATTTCTTGATCGATACAAATCGTCAAATTTGATTAATTTTAGATTTAGTTTGCACAGTGTGTAGCAATTTTACAAATTTACAGTTTTGACCAGATAATTTCTAGTGCAAAATATACAATAAATTTTGATATATTTTTTTTCTTAATTCCTATGAATTAACTTACCGTTGCAATTAATGAAAAGGTATGTAATAAAATAATTATGAAATTCGCGATAACGCGTATAAAAGACTCCCATGTTTCACAGATAACATTTTATTTTCTGGATTAGTTAAGCAAAACAAAAACTCAGTTTTTATTATTATTATCATTATTGTTATTATTTTTAAATCAGTGCCAAATTGTAGGTTCTGAAAAACATAATTAAGTGATCTAGAGAAGCGGAAACAAATTGCATGTACATGTACTTATATTTTGGTTCTAAAAAGTACCGTGGTAGTCTTATACGTTAAATGAACAATGTGGGACCAAATGTCTTTGTTGAGATTTAAAGACAACAATATGTCCTAGTTTTTGCTGAACTTTAAAGTTTGCTCTTATTTTGTATCTTAATTCATAAAAAAGGGACTCTACTGCGATAAGATTATTTAGGCCACGTTTGGCAACGAACAATGCATGACATTTGGGGTATTTACTGAGTTTAAGCAATACTTTATTTCAATAGTAAACAGAGAATTTCAACACGATATCGAAGATGTATTCTCTTTAACCATGAAGGGATTTAATGAAACAAATTTGATGTGAAAACATAGAAATAACAATCAGTCAAATCGGAAGGTTATTTCAGAAACTCGATATCAACGACAATATTGTCGAAACCGTACTTTTGTGTAAGGAAAATGTAGCGAAAGGGGGCACAGACCTGTCGGTTCTTCGACGTTAGCAGGCACAGAGTACAGAAAATCTTTTGGTTTGTAAAGCGTTCTTTCTACCTCTGTTTTGTAGCGGATTATTTTATGAATTAATTTATTCATAAAAATTGAAAGTTAATACATGTTCCTGCATAAATTCAATCCCTATATACGTACAAGAAAGGAGATATTCGGTCGACATTGATACTGCTTAAATACACTACATATGATTATGTTACAGTCTTTCATGGCTTAATTTAAGGGGATATTTATATACAGAAATGAATTCTTATATAACAGAAAAAAATTTCACTGGTTCATTTTATGCACCAGGTGTATCCTCCTTTCCTTCACTGAATAAGGATGATGACCAGCGATCGCGAAAAAGATAGAGAAGAGATTAGTATTAACTCAGCAGTTGGTTGTTCGTGACATTCAAAAGAATCGAGACATTAAATAAAATGGATACACAGAGTTGTTTATATTCTGTATCCACTTGTCATTCGTTTGCAAACTGAGAGGACAATTTACTGGATATAGATACCGCTTTTATGAAAACTAAGTCATTCATTTTCACCCAAATTGTTATCTGAGTCTTAGCCCTGTATATCTTAGGTTAGCCTAGATATAATTTCAAACAGTGAGTCTTTATAGAAAGATATTTGTTATCCTGAATGTTTGCAGGTAAAAGGTTGCTTAAAAGTAGAGCTGTTCAAAGTTTCAAACGTTTTTGTATCTTACAGTAAAATGTCCGAAGAAAAGAAGAAAGCCCTCCCGGAGAAGAAGAAAACTTTTTGGGAACGGGAACTTGACGATTTGAGGTCACTCGACCTTTTGAGAGCTTCCCTTGCTGAGTTCCTCGGGGTAATGTTTCTGGTTTTGTATGGAGTAGGTGCCGGGCTGTATCACGAAACTCTGGGAACAAAACCAAGCAGTGTCCATATTTCCATAGAAACAGGATTCTTCATCGCTGTTATAATAACGACCTTGAGCACCGTCAGTGGAGGTCATGTAAATCCCGCCATTAGTATAGGTTTCCTAGTAACAGGGGGAATAACTGTATGTAGATTCTTATTTTATATGTGTTTCCAAGTTCTTGGTGCTATTGCTGGGATGGGCATTATAACGTTGGTATCTCCTGTGGAAATGCAGCACGGAAGTTTTGGTGTGATACTGCCGGGTCCAAACGTCACGGACGTTCAAGCGTTTGTTTGTGAAACTTACATCACCTTCCTGTTAGATTTTGCCACTTTCTCCTTCCTGGATTCTGGAAGATCAGACATGACGGGCTCCGTCCCTTTCATTATCGGAATTCTTGTCGTTATAAACGTTTTCTCAACGGTGAGTTTCTATATGAATAACACGAATTTCTATTCTGGCAAATTGATTTGATTCATTTTAAATCATCTATCTTAATTTGTAAAATGTTGCATAAAAAGTAAACTTTATTTACGTATAAATAATTTTCCAAACATCTGCTTTCAGTTTTCAGCTTGGGGGGGGTGGGGGGTGGGGGTGGGGGGTGTTTTTTGTTTGTTTGTTGTTTAACGTCCCTCTCGAGAATTCTTCACTCACATGGAGACGCCACTACTTGCCGGTGGAGTCTGGAAATTAATACCTATTCTCGGCAATCACGGCCATTACGCAGGGATCTTTTGTCTGCCAACACCTTCTGCGACACGGGACCTCGGTTTATACGGTCTCATCCGAAGGACCAGTCTCCACGTCCCGCAGTAGATTCGAACCCGCGATATAAGGATCAACTCCTTACTCCGCGACTCGAGAGCAGACGCTCTAACCACTGCACCACGCGGGCGACGGGGGCTTTTTGTAATATTATTGTCGTTTCATGAAAACTTGTACCAGCTACTTATTTTTTACACAAAAGAATATGTAAAATGTTATGTCCTCAAACGTCAGAAGAGGGATAAATACACATATAAAAGGTACATTGTACATCATTCGGAGGCAATTAGAGCCTGTTTTATTATTAACGTATGAAAAGAAAAAAAATACAGATGATCGGATTTAGAACAATTTGTCTGTAGATTGATGCTATGATTAAGGACGGACAGTTGCTCTGGTCCCTCAGATTGTGTATATATACTAAAGTAGATATAAAACTTGTTGAAGTACAATGGTGAAAGACCGTGAAACTGTAGACATATACATGAATACCGTAACATCATGCTGATTTATTTTGTAGTATCCAAGTATTCAGGATTACCAACGAAAAAAGAAGTATTCTATGCTAAATATCCCGTCCCTCTCCCTTTATAATTTCAGTAGTACCAAAAACACTTCTGTTTAGACACCCTCTAACCTTGAAGAAATAAACAAGATGATGGGAAAACAGACTACATCAAGCATTATATCAGATTTCTACTACGCAACTGTATTTGAAATTCAAGGGCTAAAATATTTCAGTTCGAGTTGATTTGCTCTTTTTCACCAAGTAAATATAATCTCATATTCAAGAAGTAAATAAACACTTCTGAACAGAACTTGATGGCAGATAAAATGTCCCGAGCATCATTGTGTTACCTTATACCTCGAAGATATACAGATACCATATAGCAAATACATGAGAATTTATTTCAGAATTTGATACTTTAATAACCTAAAAGCACTTAGAAGAAATGATTGACAAGTAGAACCTCCCTCGACAATTAAGTAAAATAGTACACGACACAAAGTATTCATGGATTTTACGTCATGCCACCATACACCGTCTAAAAAATAGTTGTTCTATTTCGAAACACAGATTCAAATCACTGTGCAATCTTAAGGTCATAATTATGCAACGTACATGTACTTTACAATGTACCTTTCCCAGTGATATTTTCTCCAAGATACTCTTAATTTTACATATAATATTTTCAAAGTTTCTTTGACAAAAAATCAGGATACATTACCAGGAGTTTTAAACAGAAATTAAATTGATGGAAATCTTGTTTTTCTTTTTTTTTAAAAAAAAAAAAAAAAGAAGAAGAAGAAGAAATTAAGAAATATATTGTTTTAGCTGGCCTTTTCTCAAAATTTGATTCAGAGAAGGTGTATATGTACAACATTACCAGACATCGTAAAATTGCACAAAGGTCCTTAAGTTTTGTAACTCTTAAGTTATACATGGAATAAGAAAATAGAGTTCAGAATTTCATGTATGTTGCTTATCTCTTCAAATTAATATAATCAATGAAATTTAACGCATATCACATTTTTTAGTGATAAATGAAAAAATGGCCATTGGATATGGTCACTGCATTTATTCCATATGAGTCAACGTTATATTTCATGACCATAGGCTGACCAATGTCTGGTAAATATAATATGGTTATATAACCATATATATATATATATATATATATATATATATATATATATATATATATATATATATATATATATATATATATATATATATATATATATATATATATATATATATAATCTTTAGCAATAAACAAACTTGTAAAATAAGAGTTTTTCTTTCAGAAGTTCTGTTTTTCACTGTTTTGTTAATTCCATTTTAATCTATATGTACCAATAAACACGCTAACAGTAATCCATACGTATTGAACTCCAAGTATAGGCCTATTTGCACATAATTTAACCTTCGTTGTTATAGTGACACAAATACTTTAATTCTCAAAAGGAAATGGCTTTAAAATACATAGGTCTTAACCTTTATTTAGGTCATCTTATTGATCGAACAATCGAGAAGGTCTGATAAAATACTTTTACGAGTGTGCATTGATCTTTTCGAGTTTAAAATCGTCAAGAATAATTATAACACCTTTTCCCTAAGCAATCAAATCAAATCTTGCAGACAAATTTTATTAAGGACATATTTTCTAGAGGACTAGATAAGTAAACGCATTGAGTCAATTTTAGACAAAAAACTGTGTCACAGTTTTGAAATTATATTCATTTGGCTTTTCACTATGATATGGGTAAATCCAGCCTGGTGGTCCGACTCCACAGTTTCATCATTCTGGCGTTATAAATCAAATAAATTGACACATATTTTAAATTATAAGCTGGAAATGACTGTTGAGCCTCTATAAGAAAGGTCGACCTCTGGCGTACTTACATTGTTAATAGAAGTATAAATCAGCCTTTTATGTTCGATTTTCTTAAAATTCTTTAAATTTATCCCGTCAACATTTTTTTGTTCGACCCCCCCCCCCTTTCCGAAAATATCCTGGATTGCTTAAATTTTAATTTAAATAAAAATACTTAAGGGTGCAAATCTATATAAGTTCAACAATAATATCATTGATATAAATTAAACACATCAAATTTTCAAATAAAAAGTAGACTTTAAAAGCAGACAATGCATTTCGCTTAAAATTGCATGTATGCATGTATAACCGAGTCCCATGGTTTTCGAGGGGTAAAATATTTTCAATTTTACCCTCAACTACATGCAATATTTATTATATTATATTGAATGTTAAATATACCAATATATGTATGTATTAATAGTGAACAATAAATAATTCGCAGTCTATTTTTTGGAATGTCACCCGTTGTCAAGCAATGTTGACTGCTGCTACGTTCTATATATCACAGAGGTTCAGATTCAACTAATCTACATGAGAGTATTATATAATTATGTTATTATATATTTGTATATAATTGACTTGGTATTAAGGATACAAAACAAAATGATTACATTTCTTTGTAATTTTAGTGGAATCTATCAGGTGGATGCATGAACCCTGCGAGAAACTTCGGTCCAATGGTTATCAATGCAGCATATGATAAAGCATGGGTATGTAAAAAAAAAAATTCCTTCAATTTTTTGTTTTGCATTGATTTCCAAAATCTTAATTTCAAAATATATTTTGAATTTTTTTTTTTTTTTTTTTTTTGTTATCTAAATTATTTAATAGGGAGATCATTGTACGACTTTTCTGTAATGGGTAAAAGTACATTAAGTACCTTAAAACACGGAATTTCTTTATCTCCCATTGCTTATGTCTCTTGTCATTTCTATAAATGGCAATTCAAATCCAGAAATGTATTACATACAGTTGAACTTCGGTATCTCGAACACTGTTATCTCAAATACCATGGATATTTTACCATCGATATCTAGAATCCTCGGATATCTCGAAGATTTTTATCGGTCCCCATCGAGTTCGAGATAACGAGGTTTGACTGTAAATGATAGTGACCTTCAAATTTGCTGCTCTGGCTAGCTGTGTTTATTCAGTTGTGCTGAATTACTACTTACATGACGAATTGAATAACACGATTTTGTTATGAAATTATACTAAAACAATCACGAATTGTACAATTTAGGGGCATTATGTTTTGAAATATACTGTTTGAGAATAAGGGCTGTTTTTATTGGATCATTTAAAGAAAGATAATGACTACAGACTGTGTATGTCGCAAACAAATAAGATGATTGTGAATAACGAGTCCTAAACTTCTTTTGATACATGTGATAAACAAAGTGGGAATGATGTTAAGTTGCAGAAATTATATGCCTTATTTGAAACTTTAGTTTGATTGGCATCTCTCATCTACAGGTATACTGGGCTGGACCAATGATAGGGGGCGCACTGGGTGCTTTCATATATGACCGAGTTTTCTCTACAAGAGTTTGCAAAAATATTTTGCATGGGTGCAACAGCCAGGAAAGAAAAGACTTAGATATTTCCAAAGAAATTCGTGTCAACGAGGCTTTCACAATCGAGAACTCAAAATTATGATCCATGTTCAAAACAGGGTTGGCGTTTATCAGACTAGTATGATCCTGGATTTTGGAACAATGTCAAATCCAGCTTCATGAATGTGAATAATGTAATATTTGTATGATATTCAACAACATACCTCTATATATTTCGTTTGCATAAGATATCCTTGAAAGAATGTGAAAACTGATGCCCCATATGGCAGTTTATGGCCAAATGAAAATCTTTCAGATCTTGGTCAAATTTTAGGGTCATGAAGTCAAAAATGTTTGTAATCAAAGAAAGGTCAAGTCGAAAGGCATGTACAGGTGGAATATGAAAACCCTAGAACCAACCATTCAGAAGTTACAATATAAGGCCACATGAAATATGAAAACCCTAGAACCAACCAGTCATAAGTTACAATGTATGGCAAAGGTTAAAGTCTTTCAAAAGTAGATCAAACTCCAAGGTCAAGGTCATGAGGTAAGAGGCGTTGGTACATATAGAAAGATCTTGTCTCAAGAAATATGCCTCAGATTACGGTGCATAAAAAAAGTACTTGGGTGTGTGTGTGTGTGTGGGGGGGGGGGGGGGGGGTCGGAAAGTATTCGAATTCAGTTCATGAATTATGAAAATCCGTGGCATCCACGATATGGAACCTCAGGGTAAACGAAAATTTACTCGTTTAAGTTCACTTATTAAATATATCTTTTTAAACTTAATGCTTTGTTTCTTTTATCATTATTATTATTATTATTTCCATATTTAAGAAATGAATTGTATAATACATATGAAATAAAAAAACCCTTTGTATAATCCTCACATTTGTTCTTGTGATATACAGGAATGTACATGTAAACGACACAGTATTAAGAGAATTGTTTTATTATATCATATTTTCCCATATCAAATTCATCAGGTACTTTTTATATCATTAAGCTTGTTCTTAATTTATTTTTTTTTTTTTACATAAATGCACTGTATGTAAGAGTATTCCTTATTATTTCAAATGTTGAAATAACTGTTTTCACCCGTAACTTTGCATACAAAAAACCTTTCCTGCAAGGTACTTTTTGCAATCGTCATTTGACATGTAACTTGTCTCTGCTTAAAGAATAAAAGAGGTTATTTCTCTTTCTTCATGAATTCTCACTATAGGTGAACATTCAAAAACTCCCAGATCTATCTGGTTTAAATTCACAATCTGTTTGCCAACTTAAGATCACCCATGAAAGCCTTAATTTATTTTTTACATAAGTGATGTGTCCCGTTCGTAATCCAAAAACATATGTATCTCAAAAATCATGTTCCTACCAGTCTCTAATATGTTAGAGAAACCCATATGTAAAGAAGCTTGAATTTTCACAAAACAGTTGCCTGTCACATGATTTTGATCCAAATTCACATATAATAAGTCGGGGGTCACTGTGGTTGTTTATATCAATGCCATGAATCAAAAGATGTTCTGATAATTTATAAAAATGATAGAATTTATTATAGTGATGTGCACTTTTTGTATCATCATCAAGGTCCACGGCCATCAAATACATACACAATATATGATGAGAATTCTCGTATATTTCATTTAAGCAAATCTGCTTGTATTATATTATTTACTTATATTTTAGATTTTACCTCTGCATGCAGATTTGCTCCTAAGTTCAGAAAAAAATTACAGGGCAAAAGTAAACCTCCTGCATCAACGTGCATTTGTTGCCATATAAACGCAACAACTAATGTACTCAGCAATATTCTATTAAATTAAAAGTAGTACTCTACTGATATACAGATGAATATGTTATGTCTTAGAGATAATCCGTTTTTATATTTAGAAGTCGGCTGAAGTGAACAACTCCGTTTCACAAGATTATAGAAAGTATGGACATGAACGACAATGCTCTGTTTACATGGTGAAATAGGAATAGATTGAAGAGAAGATAATATTGAATATTTTAGAATAACTAATTCATAAAAGGAGTTTAAGGATAATGACATTCACCTATTACATAAAAATCTTTCTATAGTATTATTTCGTTTTAAATGTTTCGTCATTCGTTGACCAAGTGTTGGTTTAAAATATACAAGCATATATATACTTTTTAAACAATCACTGCTGTGAATTTATAGAGGAGAAAAAAAAGTCTGGTTTTAAAACAAAGGCAACCTAAGAACGAGACGTCTTAAACTTATTAGATCTCTGTATTCTTAATGGTTTTTTTGTCAGTTGCTTACAATCACAAATCACACTTCTTCTTTTATTTTTTTTTTTACTTTGAAACAATTAGAATGGATCTTTTGAATAAAGACTAAGGAAGAAAAAATGAATAAAAACTATCCCCCACGATGCGGTCACAAAGTTTAACCCATGTATAAAGGGGTTCAGGAAACGACTGATGAAAATGTTGGAATTACGTACAACATTATGAAGTATTTAGACTTACAAAAATATATTCACAACCCTTCCTATGGTTGCATACAGTAAACAGGAGAACATTTGTGGTGGAATCATAAGAGATCAAAATTAAATGAAAACAGATTGATCGATGTGTACTACCAAATTTGCAAGTGCTATTAATACCAGTGAAACGTTCTTAATTAGTTATGATACGTAAGCAATTGATCAAAGGCTCCATTAAAAGTGTCGGGTTCTAATACGTTTTTAAAAGTCATTCTGGTTGTTAGGATGCCATTGTTTTATTACAATTCTCAAAAACTGGAACATTTTGCAAAAAAAAGATACAAAACCAAACAGTTCTTCTTTAAAGTGTCGGTTCTTAGTAATTATAAGCTTGGTTAATTTAGGTCAGATTTTGAAACTTCAGTATCATTGTGTTTAAATGCAAAAAAAAAAAAATCCTTAAAAGAAAGGATTATTGCGTTTAAACGCAAAAATTCTTGCGTTTAATCGCAAAATTATTGCGTTTAAACGCAAAAGATTGCGTTTAATCGCAATCCTTTGCGATTAAACGCAATTCGCAGCTATATTAAGGCTTCCCGAAGCTTTAAAATCCGTTCAAAACATAATATGTCATTGCGAGGTCGGTTTTGATTTTAATTTATAAGTATTGAACTTTAGTACTTCCAATTTATATAAAGGGTTTCCTCGGCTATATATGAGCATATTTGTTATGATATCACATGACTTTGTTGATCACGTGACGGTCATTTATAATTTTTTGAAGTGTTTCATATAAATCGCTTCGGCGCAGCTGATTAACACAATAATTATTAACATTTTGTTATATAAATAAACTCATCGTATCCTTGTATATCCGAAATGTGCTCGGGAAAAGTCATAGTATTACTTGGGTACAAAATATTTCCGGAGAAATTCAACTTACCTACAAATTTGAGGGTATTTTCCACACAATATCGTAATCTGTATTAAAACAAAGCCAACACACATTTTTCCAAGCAAGATTCAGTTAGAGAACAACCTCTTCTTACAGATTTCCACAAAAATTCTCAGATTAATAGTCATTAATCACCTGCGCCAGACTCTTTTATACACACAAAATAAAATCTACCTCCAACTAAGGGTATAAAACAGAGTACATTTCAAAAGTATATTTTTCATAAGCATTTTGAACATGATGAATTTCAATCAAGGGTAGGTAAGCGGTGTATTTTTAAAATATTCGGACATATAAGACTTAAAAACCTTTAACGACCCGTGAATTTTGCAATAGCTATCTAACATTTTACATGCAGTTTGAAATAAAGTGTAAAGTTCATGAAACTCTCCCCGTCATAACACCTCAAGTTTGCAGTGTTTTGCGTTTAATCGCGATGATTATTGCCTTTTAACGCAATAAAAATATTTCTTCCTCTGCACTGGCCTCAACGGGCTTCCGTAAAAAGTACATTATATAGGCCTGGGTGAAAGAACTGCGAACGATAGCATTGTTCTCCCGCCTACTTCCAAGTCAATTTTCAAAAGTTAACACATTTGAATGATTTTTCATATTTATATAGATATCTATATGAATTTTCATAAAACATTCCTTCTTTGGGAAAACAAAGAGAGACAGCTCTATAATTTGGGTAAAACTTGTGTTTTTCACTATAGAAATCAACGGAAAGCGCAAAATATTTTTGAAACATCTTTCCCCCCGTGAAACAAAAATTCCTTTTTACAGGTAATATGGACTGTCATTTCACAAATTCATACCAAAGCTTTTTGTGTTTCACGGGGGGGGGGGGGGGGGAGGGGGGATATGTTTACAGACAAAACACTACAAAAATGCTTATTTTTTCACCAATTTCAAAGGGTTTTACAACTAAAACATTGCATTTTATTAATAATATATGTTTAATTTTATATGCGTAGGACACAAGAAAAGATTTAAGGAACATTTATTCATATCCAAGAATATTTTAAAATGTGTTGATGCTTTAAAGCCCGATTTCAATGGAAAATATCGTCTACCCCCCCCCCTTATTTTAAGAGCTGGAATTAGGGGTAATTAACTATTTATCACTGGCATTAAAATTATCAGTCAATTAACATTGAACTGTTCTTTACATTCAAGAAATATTTTACGATCAAATTGACATTAGTATTGAATTAAATGGATGTAAAATGTAGGCGGGAATCGAGAGTTAGCGTGCGTAGTTCTTTTTCTGGTGTGAAGAAAAAATATTGGTGCATGGGGATTTGCATTTGTGATTAAAGAAAATGATTCTGTAGTTTCTATTAGCATTTCCTGGAGGATATGGATTTTTTGGTCAATTTATTTTACGAAAAACAGGGAAAATTAAATCCGCAAAAACAGCCGATTTCACAGTTTATCATTTTTTTTAAGTTTTTCCCTCTTGGTCAGACCAATTTTTTTTTAGAACTTCGTTTTAAGAATGAAAAAGGTGAAGATAACAAATGGTTATTAATTTAGAAAAAAAATACAAACAATGCAAATTTGTGAACATAGCGTTAAAACACAGACCACCGGACGTTCCAGAGGTGGGACCAAGTGTTTAGAATGAGTAAGCGTAAGTAAAATGGTAAAATAACTTTTTTATACTCATTTAAACACCTGGTCCCACCTCTGGAACTTACGGTGGTCTGTGTTTTAACGCTATGTTCACAAATTTTCATTGTTTGTATTTTTTTCTAGGAAGAAAGAAAAGCACGTATACTTAGATTTCCTGCAATATAATTGGTTGGCGAGTAAGCATAGTCTTAAAATGAGGAATACAAGTCATGTATAATGCTAAGAGTTCAGAAACGTTTTAAACAATTTATAAGTAGGATTGTCTACGAGTAACAGCCTTTTCGAGTATACGTAGAGAGGTTCGTGTAATGAATACTAAAATCAGTACTCGAGTAATTGGAACAAACTAAAATAAAATTATACAAGGATACTTCATTGATATATTTATTTGTTAAGCACATTCTACTTTCATAATTTAAGTCATCGTACTGTTATATCAATTATTTTTAGGCAGGGGCACGCCATGATTGGAATTCACAGTTCAAATTAATTCAGTATATTATAACATGTATTCTTTTATTAGTTAGCAGCAAAAAAGGTTTCCACCTTC